TCTTTTACATAACCATATTGTTATTATACAACTATGGGAACTAGCAGTAATTCCTTAATATCATCTAATACTCATTCCATAGTTAAATTTCCCCAGTTGTTTAAAAAATTTCTTTGTATTACTGATTTGAGTCAGGATTCAAACAAGAGCCATACATTGCTTGTGGTTCAGTTCAGTTGCTCAGTCGTGTCCGATTCTTTGTGACCCCATGGACTGCAGCACGCCAGGCATCCCTGTCCATCACCAACTCCCGGAGTTTACTCAAACTCACATCCATCGAGTCGGTGATGCCATCCAACTATCTTCTCCTATGTTGTCCCCTTCTCCCACCTTCAATCCTTCCCAGCATCAGGGTCTTTTCCAATGAGTCAGTTCTTCACATCAGGTGGCCAAAGTATTGGAGTTTCAGCTTCAACATCAGTCCTTCCAAGAAGGGATCCATAATGAATGAATAAATATAGGATACCTTGAAGAGAAAAAGTGCAAATCTGCATATGTACTCTTTTGTTTTATCTTGAGCCATAGAATAGCATAGATTTTACAAGTCATTCTGTTCATCCTAATGCCTCTCTGTATAAGATGGCATATGAGAGGAATGAGGTTCTATTAATAATATTAGGATTTATCATATGTTTCCCATCTACTGCACAAGTTTTGAAAAGTTGGAACTTATGTCCCCATTAGCAAAATCATACCATTAATGAGGGGTATGGGAGTGGGGACAACAGATCAACTTCTACTTCTCCAAAAATAACAGCCATCTAACCTAATATGGAGGAGAATTTCATTTTCAGATCATCAGGTATAGGTTCATGCTGAATCCAAAGTTGCAGAGAGAAGGTCATATTGAATCTGTATTTCTTGAACTCACCCACTCAGAGTCCATTCAGAGTAGAGGTTATACCAACATATGAGACCATCATCCAGGTAAAATAAAGTAACTCTACAGTCAGGAATGCCTCAAAGCACCAAACTAATGATAAAAAGACACACAGTGGAATTATATATTGAAAATACTCATCAAAAAATGAAAAACGATTGGAAAGAAATATATCTGACACTCAACATGTGTGAAGAATAAAAATGACTTTTCAACTGTAGTTTAACAACATAGCTGGATTAGAAATTTCATATTAATTATAGATGAGTATTAATAGTATTAATTTGCATTTATTAGTATAAATAGTATTATATTAATTTAGCATAGCAGCATCCATAGAGCTGGCATTCTCTATGAACTTCTTGGGCAAAAATGAGGAAGATATAGAAAGTGAGCTGTTAAGTGCCTTTTACTAAATTCTTCTTTGGTATCCCAAACAGCCCCTTATACATCATTTAGTAGATCCTTGCTGAGTCCTTAGAAGGGCATAAAATTCTCTACAAAGCAAGCTAAAATGATTTCCCTCAGGCAAGGAAAATTACAGATTCTAAGGTTCANTGGCAACAAGGAGTTCATGATCTGAGCCACAGTCAGCTCCCGGTCTTGTTTTTGCTGACTGTATAGAGCTTCTCCATCTTTGGCTACAAAGAATATAATCAATCTGATTTTGGTGTTGACTATCTGGTGATGTCCATATGTAGAGTCTTCTCTTGTGTTGCTTGTGGTTGGGTCTCTTAAATTCTTTTAATTCATAAGAATCCCTCTAACCCCCCACGTTATTTGTTGAAGAAACCCAGTCCTTTGTCCTATAGAATGTCTCACATCCTGGGTTTGGCTGACCATTTTGTGTGGTGTGTTTTAGCTTCCCTTCTCCCACATTTAACGTTAAGTCTTTGTATTTTCTTATTTTTCTAACAACACATGTGCTATTAGAAATTAAAACAAAAGTACGCTGGTGACACTGAACCAATTTAATGCTCAGGCAGGAGTGCTGAAAATAGGTCAGTTAGGAGGTGGATTAACCCATCTGCTCTTCAGGAGAAATCTGAACTAGAATAACAATTGGAGAGCTACCAGCTTATAAAAGGTAACTGAAACTGGAACTGGGGAGAATGGATGAGACCATCCATGGAAAATGGGGTCCAACATGGGACCTTGGAGAAGCCTAATATAAAAACGCGGGCAGAGAATGTTGCAAAATGACTGAAAAGCACTTAAGAGATGCAGGTGATAGTCCATGGAGTTGCAAAGAATCAGGTATGACTGGGTGACTGGGCATATAGTCGCCATAGCAGCTGAGGGCAGCTTCAAGGTGGGTGGACTGTTCAGTGGATGATGCATTTATAAAACGTACACAAATGAAAATTTATAAAGTGGGTCATTTTATATTCAGTAGCACATGTTAACCTATGTATTTATCCTAAGGAAATAACCATATAGTGCGTTTTCGAAAATAAGGAGTTTGGACTTACTGGGAAAGCAATGAATTAAAGGTTATTTGTAGTGATAAAAGTGAATTACAATCCTTAATAATTTTGGTGAACTTGATTTCTGAAATCAAAGAAGTTTCACTTTTCTGTGAAATACAGATAGATTTTAAAAATTCAACTTATTTGTATTTTTTTTTTATGTGCTTACCACTACACCTTCCCAAGCAAGATACAATAGTATGTACATGTGACATGATCAGTGCCCTTTCCATTTACCATCGTCACCGTACCCACCAATTCTCACTTGTTCTGGTTGTTTGATCACAGGATTCACTGATGAGTTGTGACATAGTTGCCCTCTGCGTCTCAGTCTCCTTCCCTTTAGAACAATGGTTTGATGAGGTCAACGGTTTGCATCAGTCACCATGAGCACTTTTTAAACACAGATTGCTGGTCTAACTCCTTGTTTGATTCAGTAGGAAGCAGAGAACTTGCATTTCTGGAGATGTAAGTTGCTGTTCGAGGAACCACATTGTGAGAATCATTTTATTAATACTTTTTTCAGCTCTAAGTTTATGATCCCTTTGCAAAACTGCATCACCTACACTCACGAATGAATTTAATACTCTCCGTATTCTACAAAGCGTAACAGAATATTGTGGAATATGTAGTTATTATTTATCTCTTAAAAATTTATTTTTATTGGAGCATAGTGGACTTACAATGGTGCTAGTTTCAGGTGTACAGCCAAGTGAATTAGTCACACACATACACACATTCATTCTTCTCCAGATTCTTTTCTCATGTAAATTATTGCAGAATATTGTGCTATACAGTAGGTCCTTACTATTAATATAGTTACCTGTTTTATATATTATAGTGTATATATGTTAATCCTAAATTCCTAATTTATTACCTCCCCCAACATATCCCCTTTGGCAACCATAAATTTGATTTCAAGATCTGTGAGTCTATTTCTGTTTGGTAAGTTCATTTTTATCACTTTTAAAAAATCAGATTTGACATATAAGTATACGTTTTTCTTTCTCTTCATTTCATATGATAATCTCTGGGTCCATCCATATTGCTGCAAATAGCATTATTTCATTCTTTTTATGGCTGAGTAATAATCCACTGTATATATGAACCATCATCTTCTTAATCTATTCCTCTACTGATGGACATTTATGTTGCTTCCATGTCTTGGCTATTTTAAGCAGTGCTGCAATGAACACTGGGGTGCATGTATCTTTTTGAATTACAGTTTTCTCCAGATAAACGCCCAAGAATAGGATTGCTGGATCATATGGTTGTTCATATTTAGTTTTTAAAGGAACCTCCATACTGTTCTCCATAACAGTTGTATCAATTTACATTTCCACCAACAGTGTAGGAGGATTTCCTTTTCTCCACAGCCTCTCCAACATTTACTGTTCATAGGTTTTTTGATGGCCATTCTGACTGGTGGGAGGTGATTCCTCATTGTAGTTTTGATTTGCATTTCTCTAATAATTAGTGATGTTGAGCATCTTTGAATCTTTTTGGCCATTGCCTATCTTCTTTGGAGAAAGTTTATTTAAATCTTTTGCCTGTTTTTTGATATGATTGTTTGTTTGATATTGAGCTGCATGATCCATTTATATATTTTGGAGATTAGTCCCTTGTCAGTTGCTTAGTTTGCAAATGGCTTTTTGTTTTGTTACTGGTTTCCTTTGTTGTACAAAAGTTAAGTTTAGTGAGATCCCATTTGTTTTTATTGCTCTAGGAGGTGGATCAAAGGATACATTGCTGCAATTTATGTCAGAGAGTGGTCTAAGTTTTCCTCTGTAAGAGTTTTACGCTAGCTGTCCTTACATTTAGGTCTGTGATCCACTTCAAGTTTATTTTTGTGTGTGGTGTTAGCCAGTGTTCTAATTTCATTCTTTTACATGTAGCTGTCCAGTTTTTCCAGAACCACTTACTGAAGAGACTATATTTTCTCCATTGTATATTCTTGCCTACTTTATCTTAGATTAGTTGACCATAGGGGCATGAGTGTAGTTGTTATTTGTTGAATGCAAACAACAGCTTAACATTTTCAATCTTACCTTCTTAAGCCTTATGTATCTTAGGAATGTCTATGTCGGTAGCTGTGAGCTGACCAGAGGCAGGACCATGGCTGTGGAGGCTCTTGGTATATCTCACACTGCACTTAATGCAGAGATTTAACACATGCTTTTCGATATGCCTTCAATGGACTGGGCAGTATGTGGTATCTTCCCATTTGGTAAACATTATACATTTGATACAAACTCTTAAAATAATGGGAATTTGATCTTAGTTCATTCTTGAGCAAGTTTCTGGAGTCCAGGAGACCACACTGGGTAATCTGGTGTTCTGACACAAGGGAGACAGTTCCTGTTAATCAGGATATTAGCCTCAGTGCCTTCTGTTGGTGCTATCTGGGTTGCTGATAACTGAACTTCTGGTGGCTCTGAAAAACTAGGAAAATGTCAACCATCTTAAGTTTAGGAAGACTTCATAAAACACCTTTTAAAAATACAGGCTCCAGGTACAAAACAATTTCCAAATTGTATTTTTATAAAGATTAATTTTAGAGGTAAAAACTTTCCCACTTTAAATCAGAAGAATACAAGTTTGTTTTTATTTCTGATTTTGGTTGCTTTCCTTTAAAGAATGAGATGCTATAATTCAAAAATTGAATAAGTATTTATTGTTCCAGAAGGTACATTGCTTTTTATACATATTTCATAAATGATACAGGATTTTACACATGTTCAGTATTTTGCTATTTGTTTAAAGGACTTTTCTTCACGTTCTCCCCTCCCTAGCCTCCCACACAACCTGAAAGGATTTGCTCATTGCACTGTGCTGTTTCTTCTTAAAAACCCTGCAGTACAAACAGGATAAATGGTTTAAAAATAATTCACAGAGCTTAACAGAAATAAATGAGGGAAGGGGGTTGAACAACTTGGGGGCGGATAAGGAAGGAAGTGGGAGGAGGGGGAAGTGGAGACATGCATCCTTTCATTCCGTCATGCCAGTGGAAGGGAGGGGTGGTGGCAGGAGCAGCAGCAGCAGTCCTGGCTGGCCTTCAACCTCTGCAAGGCACCTGGAGTCTGGGTTTGTCACTTAAAAGTGTTTCTCTTCATACACAATGATCCCAAAGGAAGAAAAAGAGAAAGAAAACCCTTGCCACAAGGAGGAGGGATGGACCATGTGAAAGAACAAAGTGAATCAACTAGCTGTGTGGCAAGCCCCATCATCCTTTCATCCTGCCCCCACAAGTCGTTATTAATAAAAACAGGATATTAGACACAGATTCCTTTGACTCTCCAAGTGCAGATGTCATCTGGAAATACGATAGAAAATATTTTGATAAGAGTATAAGATTATTTCCTCTTTCTCTCAATTTAAGATAAGAAAAAATAGGGTGAAGAGGGTAGGTTGAAAGAAACCATAGAAATGTATTCCTATATAAAGATAAATTGCACCCTTTGAGATCCACTCACTTGATTGACAACTACTTAAGTGGTGGAGGTGGGAGGGTTCACAAACAGCATGGAAGTGTGTATCCTTCGAGATTAACAAAGCCTCCAGACAAGGCAAGGCCATCTGGGTGGCCTGGAATGCTGTCACACAAGCAGATTAACAGCAATGAAACTATTCAGGTTCTGAAATGGCTACAGAGCCATGATTTTTAGCCAATTTGTAAACCTTACATCTTCCTGATTCAGTAATATAGTTAAACACTCCCCCTCTGGCTTGAGCTGTGGAGGGAGAGATCAATGGGATAGTTAAATAAAGGAGGGAAATTTGTCTTCCTCTTAAAGATTAATTAGTAAAAAACAAAACAAAAGAAACCTCATGCAGTGTTGCCAGTGATTTCTAGATAGTGATTCAGAGCACTGAAATATATAGACATTTAAGAAGGTATGAAGGGATAATCCAAAGTGTCAATTATCAAACAGTCATAAGTTGGTTCCAATTATCATATGGATAAAATTAGTGTACCAACAGGTGTGGATGGTCAGAAATGTGCACAAATGGGAGAAATTCCTGGTAACGTTGCAGAGACTGGGTCCAGTCTAAAGTAAAAGCTAATGACATGGGCTCAGACTCTGTTTGCCACCCACATATCTTGAGGTTTTGCTTTTCTGGCGGATTTACTTACTCCTATGTCAAAATTAAGAAAAGTTAAATTAAAAAAAAGAAAATTAGAGTTGAGTAGGGTGCTGGTGTGTTACTGTTTTGCTGACCCTGCAAAGAAGATGCAAGAGACAAACACCCCCAGCATCAATTTTTCTTTGTGAATCTCTCAACCATATAGTGTATCATTTTCATCCAGAAACTGAGATGCTTGATTAAGACAGTATTTCACTAAGCCCTTTGAGCTTATATTCCACAAAGCGTGATCCTCAGATTTAAACATTCCTTTCTTCCCTAAGATCTTTTTGTTTTTGTTTTTTAATTAAAGGTAAAAACCCTCTACCCCAACATGGCTCCCAGCTTCCACCTGCAATGCTTTAATTAAAAAGGCCATAGTTATAAACAGGTGTTCTTTCTGCCGGGACTCAGAGGCTCTTTGCAGATTAATCTTTTTCACCAATTTGTCGGAGGGGCAGATGTACTTGTAATGGATCTCTCAGTCTCTTAAGGTCCATTTCTGCCTAAAATAGAAACAAAAGGTGAGAAAATCTGGCTAGTCAAGTTTCAATGATATTACTGTCTCCTGAGAAAAGGAAATTGTCTTTCCTCCATCATTATGAGGCAGAGAAATCATCTGAATCACTCTGAAAGTAGGAGTGCCTCAGTGGCGAAGGGTGTTAAAGGCACAGACAGTAAAAGGGTACGGAAACAGAAGCTGGTCCTGGTAGTTTCAGCTGTCAGCAGAGCCTCCAGAAAAGGCTGTGCAATCAACAGGGCAGGACTCGGGGCTCAAGAATGTGAGCGCATCGAATGTACCTTGATGGCATTTCTTCAGAGAAGCCCTTGCACAAACTTTTGTATGGAGCCAGAATTTATTTATTTTTGGAGCCAGAATTTAAATTATGCTGCTCAGTTCAGTTCAGTTCAGTCGCTCAGTCGTGTCCGACTCTCTGCGACCCCATGAACCACAACATGCCAGGCCTCCCTATCCATCACCAACTCCCGGAGTCCACCCAAACCCATGTCCATGGAGTCGGTGATGCCATGCAACCATCTCATCCTCTGTCGTCCCCTTCTCCTCCTGCCCTCAATCTTTCCCCAGCATCAGGGTCTTTTCCAATGAGTCAGCTCTTCGCATCAGGTGGCCAAAGTATTGGAGTTTCAGCTTCAACATCAGTCCTTCCAATGAACACCCAGGACTGATCTTTAGGATGGACTGGTTGGATCTCCTTGCAGTCCAAAGGACTCTCAAGAGTCTTCTCCAACACCACAGTTCAAAAGCATCAATTCTTCTGCACTCAGCTTTCTTTATGGTCCAACTCTCACATCCATACATGACTACTGGAAAAACCAGAGCCCTGACTAGACAGACCTTTGTTGGCAAAGTAATGTCTCTGCTTTTTAATACGCCGTCTAGGTTGGTCATAACTTTCCTTCCAAGGAGTAAGCATCTTTTAATTTCATGGCCGCAATCACCATCTGCAGTGATTTTGGAGCCCAGAAAAATGCTTAAGACTTTAGTTATTTGTCTAGTTGCTGTTTAAGCTTTTCATGTATGAGTAATTTTAAAAATAGGGATGTGAAGTCAGCTGCAGCACTTTCAAAACTCACGCATGCTTGGGCCTCACCCCCAGTGTGGAGATGGGGCTGAGGCACCTATTTTTTTAATAGCTGCAGAGACCACTCTGCTACATTCCCTCCAGTTGACAACTACCACACATAGCAACAGAAGGTAAGAATTCACTCAGGCCGAGGCAGGAAGACAAATTAAACCTATTCAGAGCAAACCCCATCATCACAAAGGGAGAGAGANCTGGGAAGACCCAGAGGGGTGGGGTGGAGAGGGAGGTGGGAGGGGGGACTGGGATGGGGAATACATGTAAATCCATGGCTAATTCATTTCAATGTACAACAAAAACTACTGTAATGATGTAATTAGCCTCCAACTAATAAAAATAAATGGGGAAAAAAAAAAAAGATGGGGCTGGGGTTTACTTTCATTTTTGGAAAACTTACCTGAGCAATTGCATCCTTGAGTTGATTGTATTTCTCTAGGTCAAAACGTGACTTTTTGGCTCCTTTATGGAAAAATAATAAGTATTGTCTGTCTCTGGCTTCTGGATAAACATATTCCTACAAAAATAAAAGAAAAATTAAATTATTAGCCCTTAGCAGACTACTGTCACCAAATAAGCACTTACTATTGATTAGATTCAGTACACATGATTGCATATATACTACTGACATGTGCAATGTTAAATATTTCTTAAAATTTTTTTATTGTGACAACACTCACAGAAGAGTACACAAAACAAAAATGTACTTCCTAAAGGATCATCGTCACATGATAAATGTTAATCATCACCAGGTGATAACTGCCAATAACTCAGAAGCCTCCTTCCTGCCTCCGTCCAGTTACTCACCCTTTCTTCCCCTGCAAAATAATCACTATCATGACTTTCGTGGTATCTGTTTTCTTGCTCTTTTTATAGCTTTCTTACTTAAAACGCATCTTCCTGAGCTCTAAAGATCAGTTTCACCTGGTTTTAAAATTTTACATGAATAAAAACGAAGTCAGATAGTACGCAATGTGTATGGCTACTTTCACTCACTATCATGTTTGTGATATTCATCTTTTGTGTGTACCAGTTTCAGGTGCATTGCACAGTGATTCAGATATAGGTTATTATAAAATACTGAGTATCATTCCATGTGCTATACAGTAGGTCCCTGTTGCTGATCTGTTTTATATATAGTAGTGTGTGTATGTTAATCCCAAATTCCTAAATTATATTATTTACATGACTACCTCATATTTTATTTTATAAAATTTTATTTATCTATTTATCTTTGGCTGTGCCAGGTCTTTGTTGCCGCATAGGCTTTTTTCTAATTGCAGAGAGCAGGGGCTACTCTCCAGTTGCAGTGTGCAGACTTCTCGCTGCGGAGCCTTCTCCTGCTGTGAATCATGGACTCCAGGGCACTTGGGGGCTCAGTAGTTGTGGCTCGGGGGCTCTAGAGCACAGGCTCAATAGTTGTGGTGCACAAGCTTACTTGCTTCACAGCATGTGGGATCTTCCCGAACCAGGGATTGAACTTGTGTCTCCTGTACCGGCAGGCAGATTCATAAGTCACCAGGGAAGCCCTACCTTACATTTTAAAAACAACTTTACTTGAGATACCATACAATTTACCTATTTAAGGTGTAACAGTGCTTTTTAGCACAGACACAGAATTGAACAATCATTACTACAGTAAATTTTAGAATATTTTCATCACCCCCCAAAGACACCCCATACCCTTTAATATCACTTCTGATCTCCCTCCATTCTTCCAGTTCTAGGTTAACCACCTGTCTACTTTCTGTCTCCATAGATTTGCCTATTCTGGATATTTCATACGTGGAATCATACAACATACAGCCTTTTGTGTCTGGCTTCTTTCAAGGCTCATCTGTTTGTTCGTTTCTTTTTTTTTTTCCTTTCTGTTTGTTTGTTTCATGTATCAGTACATTATTTCTTTTTATTGCCAACTAAGATCCCATTGAATGGATATGCTACAGTTTATTTACCTACTTGTCAATTGATAGACATTCAGGTTTTCCCACTTTTTGGCTATTATGAATAATCTTGCTATGAACATTTGTGTACAAATTTTTATGTGGACACATGTTTTTACTTGTCTTGATGATATACAGCATTTTCATGATTACTCATGAGGCTGAGGCTTTTTCATACCCTCTTTTATATTACTGGCCATTTGCATATCCTCTTTTAGAAGTGCCTGTGCATATCTGGATTGTCTTTTTCTTATTGGCTTGTAGGATTTGTTAATATATATGGATCCTTTGTTGGATATACATACTGCAAACATCTCCTCCCAGCTCATTCTCCCTCCTAATGGTGCTCTTCAGTAAAAAGATGTTCTTAATGTTAATACAGCCTAATTTATTATTCCTATTTTTTATGGTTAGCACTTTTTATTGTGTAAAAAGTTATTTTCTATTCCACAGTAATTAAGATATTCTTCTGTATTATTATTTTCCAGGAGCTTCATCATGTTACCTTTCACATTGAGATCAACAATCCATCTGGAATTAATTTTTGTTTCTAGAATAAGGATGGGGTCATTTCTTTTTTTTTATATGGACAATCAATTGTCCTAGCACCATTTACCAAAAGACTTTGTCTCTGCAGTGCCATTTTTTAAAATCAAAAGTTCATTTACACTAGGACTGCTTCTACTTTTCTCTTCTTTTCCACTGGACTGTTTGTCCATCCCTGTGTCACTGTCTTAACCACTGTAGCACCGTAGTGTCCTCTGTAGCAGTGCTGTCGACTACTAAAGGTGTAGCCTTCATATCTGATACAGTAAATCCTTTTATGTAGTTTTTCTTCAAGAGTTTATTGACTATTCTTAGTCTTTTTATTTCCATATAAATTTTATAAGTAGCTTAATCAAATCTCTTCCTCCAATCCCAAACTTATCAGGATTCTAACTGGGGTTGCACTGAATCTAACAGATCAAGGTGGATAGAACCAACATTTTTACAGTATTTACTTTTCTGGTCCATGAACATGTGGTATCATTACATTTATTAAATCTCCTTTACTTTTATGCATTTCTACATAGACATCTTGTACATCTTTTGCATGATTTATTTTTAAAGGCCATTTTAAGTTGCATCTTTTTAAAAAGTTTCATTTAAAAAGTCTCATTTGAGGTTGGCATATAGATATGTAACTCATTTATGTGCACTGACCTTGTATCCAGTAACCTTAATGAAACTTACCTATGAATTCTAATTAATTATCTATATATGTTTTTAAAATTTTTCTATGTGCAAAATCTATGAATCATGCCAGTTGTTTTTCTTTCCAATATTTTCATCCACTGTATCTTTTTCTTGCCTCTGCACTGGCTAGGACCAAAGGTAAAAGTGGAGTGGAAGTGGTACTTTTACCGTTTTTCTAGGTAACAAAGGGACATTAAAACACTTCAAGTTCACTTATCCCCTCCAGATACATATGCTATTTTATACATATGCTATTTTTGTATGTTTTAGTTTTTTCTGTATTTTAAATTCCGTAAGAGTTTATTAGGTTGTTTTACACATTTAACATTCATTTATTATTATTTTTTGGCTGTGCTGTGTCTTTGTGGCAGAACGCAGGCTTTCTCTAGCTGTGGTGCATGGACTTCTCACTGTGGTGGCTTCTCTTGCTGCACAGGCTCTGGGGTGTGCGGGCTTCAGGAGTTGTGGCACATGGGCTCAGGAGTTGTGGCGCATGGGCTTGGCTGCCCTGTGGCATGTGGAATCTTCCTGGACCAAAGATCAAACCTGCGCCCTCTGCATTGGCAGCTGGATTCTTAACCACTGGACCACCAGGGAAGTCCATTTAATATTCATTTAGATTCATTCACAGATTTACCATTTCATTGACCTTCATTCCTTTCTGCTTTTTTTGACTTTCCATCTGTGATAACCTTCCTCTGCCCAAAGAACAACAACCTCTAGTATTTCCTTTGTACAGATCTACAGGTGATAAGTTCTCTATTCCTTTGTCTGGAAACATCTTTATCTAACCTTTATTTTGGAAGGATATTTTTGCTGAGTATAGAATCCTAGGTTGACAGTTATTTTCTTTCAACACATTGTAGGTATCATTCTATTACCTTCTGGTGGTTGAGATTACCTTCATTTCTGTGGTTGACATGCTATCTAACAGTGACTCCTCTGAAGGCAATCCTTTCTTTTTCTTCTTTTGCTTCTCTTAAGACTTCTTCTTTGTCTTTTGCAATTTTACTTCTGATGTGTCTAGATGTGGGCTTCTCTTCCTTTATTTTGGTTGGTATTTGACAGAATTTTAAATCTATAAATTAATGTCTTTCATTATTTTGGAAAACTCTCAGTCATCAGCTCTTTAAATATTGTTTGTTCCCATTCTTTTTCTCCTCTCCTTCTGAGACACTAAGAAAATTAAAAACGTATTAGGCCTTTTCACTTTATCCTCTATGCCTCTTACCTTCTCCTGTATTTTACTTCTTTATGTCTTTCCATATTTATTTCTTCTGATTTATTTCCAGGTCACTATATCCCGCTTATGTCTACTCTGCAGTTAAATCAATCCATTAAATTTGTTCTCTAGAATTTTTGTTTTTTTTTTTTTTTTAAAAATCAAGTTATCTGTTAATATTTTCAACCTTACATCTCCCCAAATATAGTAAATATAATCATTTTAAAGGCTCTGTCTGATAAATCCAGTTACTAGATTTCCTATCTGTGTTTCAAACATCTATTGTTTTTGTAGGTATTTTCTTGTGTATGTGTTTATTTTTTATTGTATGTTTAACTCTGTATTTATGCTTAGGATAATGTTATCTCTTCCCAGGAGATTAACATTTTCTTCTGCCTGGAACCTGTGAGATTAGCACTATGGGATTTCCAGTATTCCAGGACTACTTCAATCCAATTTACAACACTGGGATGATTGAAAGAACAGGTTCTTCTATTCTACAATAGTGGCTTTAAAATTCCAAACCAAAGCAAACGTGTTTCAACCTATTTTAGCAACCCCTGGACATGAATGTCTATGGTTTTGGTCCTTCTAGGTTATCAAGTATGGCTCAGCTTCTTGGCCTCTCTCAGCCTTTAATCAGTATAAATCCCCAGAGGAAAAAGGACACCTCAACACCAGACTCACCTCACTCAGACTTCTTTTCTTTTCTTTTATTTATTTATTTTTTCTTTTTTTTCTTCATTACAGTAGTTTTTGTTATACATTGAAATGAATTAGCCATGGATTTACATGTATTCCCCATCCCAGTCCCCCCTCCCACCTCCCTCTCCACCCGATCCCTCTGGGTCTTCCCAGTGCACCAGGCCCGAGCACTTGTCTCATG